GCACGGCGGTAGTACTACCGAGACGCCGCCGGGACCTCCGCCCGCCGCCGCCGCCGCCGCCGCCCCTCCCCCACGCCCCCGCGGGCCCCCAACGCCCACGCCAGGCGGCCCGGCGCGGCCCGGCTCCCTCACATCGGCTCCAGTAACTTGGCCAGCCAGGACTTGAGGGCATCCACATCCTCTATGAGCATGGTGAAGGGAAGGCGCGCTCGGCCGCCGCTCTTGTTCAGGCCTGCGGGTCTCCCCTCGCCGCTTCCTCACGCAGTCTTCACAGCTCCCGGTGCCAGAGACCACCGTGCATCTTGCGAGACTTCAACCTACTCCCGGGCCGGGGCCTAACAGGAACTAACCCAAGAGCCCTCACTCAACCTAGCCGACGGCTTAGGTGGGCGGGAGGTAGTGCCGAGTGGCGGACGTGAGAACCAATAGGAGAGAGAGGGCCGTGCGCGCAGAGCCAACGAAAAGGTTCGCTCGCCCCGCCGGCCGGTCGTACCCAGTTAAGGAGGAGGGATATAGCAAGGTAGGTGGAGAGCTCACGTGAACTCCTGGTGCAAGATGGTATCTTGGAGAAGAAGGTGCTGTGCGTCTTAAAGGGGCCGCGGCCCCTTTTTTGACCACGCCGTCTCCCGCCGCGGAATATCGGTGTCTGCTGCTCGGAGAGCCTGGGGGAACCCGGCGAGCCCCTCAGCCTAGTTCCTTGCTCTCGTTTTTCCTGGAAACACACGCTCGTGTCCCGAAATGACTCAGCTGTAGTAAAGCTGTAACACACCGTGCAATACGTTCACGTTCGACACATTGCACAGAATGCAAACATTTATTTTTCCTCACACACTCATTTTGCTCGACACACGTTTGCATTTTTTGCTGCTATGCTTAAATTGCACAGAATGTTTCTGACAACCACACCTTGGTGTCCAATAATCGTCATTTTTAAAACGTGGAAATGAATGTAAAAAGGATGAGGCCATTTCGATTTTACCAGTATTTGTAATATATGCTTTGCTTAGGAAGGAAAACTACAATAACATTTTTAAAAATTCTCTTTTCGTTGCATGTCCAAAATTCACTAGGGTTTTTTTCTGTGTGTGTTGAGGGGGGAGAATTTTGGTCAGCAAAAAAGTTCCAGAAATTATTCGTTTTAATCTTATTACCAAAACAGGCAACTTAGTTTGTACCAAATGAGAAATTCCTTTTTGGAGCTTTGAAATCACTAACTTGGCACTGGTGTTAGAATGTTTATTCAACAGCAAATACTGAGCACCTGCTCTACGCCAGCCCTGCGTAAGGCACTAGGATTCAATTGAGCAAAACAAACTGAGTCTCTCAGAAAGCTCAACAGTTAATGCGATTATGCATTATAATAATATTTTGAAAGATAACCTGATGTGCACACACCTCAGAAAAAGAGCTGGGCCACCCCAAAATAAGAAGATATATATACATAGAGCAGGTGTCGGCAAACTTTTTCTGTAAAGAGCTGGATAGTAAATATTTTTGGCTTTGTTGCTCACATCCAACAGTTGCCTATTCTTTCCTCTCTCCTACTCCCCTTCTTTCTTTATGCTTATTCACATATCCCCCCACTCTTCTTTCCGCTGCAGAGATGAAGTGTAACTCAAAAATGAAAGGAATTTTTAAAAAAGATTCGTAAAAGTGATTCGATTAGGCCTAAGGTGAGGCAGGAACCTGTTAGTATGATAGAAATGAAACAGGGTTTGCCTTTATCACAGTAAATCGTGCCTTTACAAGAATTTTTCAAAGTACGTTTTAAATATGCTTATAGTACAAATTTTGCGGGCCTTATTTCACAGGTGAGGGGGCTGAGATGCTGGCTTCCACGCATCAAGGGCATCAAGCACACTAAAGAGAGTAGAACAGACATGATCATGGTAGTAATATTTGAATTTGGAGATGCTGGGTACTTTTTCTCCCCTTTTCTCTATTTTACAAATTGTGATATTATTGCACTACTTTTCTAAACTGAATACATTATATATGTATTATATATATATATGTTAGCAGACTACTGCTTAAAATGTAGATGTTGAACCCCACACTGTATCTTGAGAAAACACGTGGAGAAGAGTTGCTGCTCCCTAAGTGGAAATGGGATACAACATAGTCAATCCCACTTCCACGCCACAATCCTTTTGCTAAAGAGCTGGCTCAGATTTGGTCAGTAGCCATGGCCCCAAATTTTCCATATACTGTTTTCAGTAGCATCCGTTGTATGCAGAGAACTGACTCATCTGCTGCCTATGAATGAATGAGGCACTGATTCAGCCATGGAGTGATTGGCCTACCCTGAAGGCAATGCATACATAATATATTAATTCAACACACCTGTACATCTGAGTGCTCTGGGCTGGAGTAGAGAAAAAATGTTGAAAGTTACATGCATTCACTTCTTTTCAGGAGCTCAGGTTCTGGTGATCTAATAGTCAAGTGTTGGATATAATAATCATAGCCATGGTTGTGGAGTACATACTCAGCCCTGGCCCTGTGCTAACTACCCCAGTGTATCGTTCCCCCTCACCTTCACAATACCCCTGTTTAGTAAACAATACCTACAGACAAGAAAACTGAATCCCAGAAAGATCATGAAGCTAATGAGTGGAAAGGCCCAGCCTTGATCATGTGTGTTTGATTCCAAAGCACACACCTATAATCTTCACTTAATCATCTCCCTAGCTAACACAGAAATATGCACTGTGTGGTTCATTCAAAATTCATTCAAGAATATGTATTGAGCCTGTTACAATCTATTAGGTACTCATGGATAATGGAGAGTGAAACGATTTTAAATAAATGTTATTTAATTAGTTAAGGTAGATGTTAAAATGGGTACTTAACAAAGATTGACTTGTCTTTCAGTTTTATCTTTGCAGGAGAAAGAGATGCCAGTTCACCTAAGAAAAGACAGATTATTACTATGTGGCATTGAAAAGACAGAGTGACTACAAGAAGAACAGACATCTAAACCACCTTTATTCAAACCAAGTTCCCTTGGTGTGAGGGAAACCGAGCCTCAACCAGGAGGACTTTTCGAGGATGCAGTTTCACACAGGTGTTGACAGGTAGATGGACCTTTCAGAATCAGAGTGGATCATTCTCCTCCCCAAATTTTTTTGTACTTATTTTCTACTCTTTGGCTAAAAGCTCTCCCAGATGTACGATAAGAGAGATTGAGAGTCATTTTTCAGTTTTCTCTGGGAAATTCATGGTCACAGTATGCTTCCCTTACATGCAATTAAACTAAGCTTTCGTAGAATTTCAAACTAGGAAGCGCATACAAACCGACCCTCCATGTCTATACATTTGTGGGTGATCATCTCATTAAACAACATACCCATCAGAACTTCATCTATTTTGAGTCTGAGTCACCTGGAGCAGCCCACCTGGCCCACAGGAAAGGTACTTCAATGAAAGCCACTTGAGTCTTAGTTACACAAAGGCAAGATGAGTTGACAAATAGTGAGTCAACCAGAATAACCTCTTTTCATTATGAAAATGTAGATTTTTTTTTTCCTAGGAGATCTATGTACTCAGGAGTTTTTTTAGAAGTTGCTTCACACTACATTTCCACAAGAATGGCTAATAAACCCATGACAATACTGAATGCTGATAAAGATGCAGAAAAACTGGATCACTCATACTTTGCTGATGTAATATAAAATGGTATGGCCACTCGGAAAAAGTTTAGTATTTTCTCTGAAAACAAAACATACAGCTATCATATGATCCAACAGTTATACTCCTGGGCATTTATCCCAGAGAAATGCAAACTTATGTTCATATACAAAAACCTATACATAAATGTTTATAGCAGCTTTATTTATAATTGCCAAAAATTGGAATCAGCCCAGATGACCCTAAACAGGTGAGTGGTTAAACAAACTGTAATATGTACATATCATGGAATACTACTCGGTGATACAAAGGAAGGAACTATTAATACATGCAACAGTTTGGATGAATTCTGCTGAGAGAAAAAGCCAGTCTCTGAAGGTTACATATGGTTTCATTTATATAACATTTTGAGAATGACAACATTTTTGTAGGGGAGGATAGAGATGGGGACATAGAGGGAAAGTGGGTGTAGTTATTAAAGGGCACATGAGGGATCCTTGACTGTATTCTTCTGTATCTTGACTGTGGGGGTGAACACAGGAAATACAGGGGAGATAACTTTATATGGAGTTTAATTTATATATATATTTATACACATACAAACATGCACAAATGAGTACAACTAAAATTTGTATCAACGTCAACATTCTGATTATGATATTATACTGTAGTTTTACAAATGTTCCCATTAGGGAAAATTGGGAAAAGTGTACAGAAATTCTCTCTAAATTATTTCTTACAACTGCATATGACTCTACAAGCATCTCAATTAAAAAAAATTTGCTCCTCACATTCAGAGCAGTGTCCACAGGGAGAAATGATTTGGGCATGCACACACCAGAAATAGTCCTTGCCCCATTTTCTAAGAGCTTCGTGGGTTCCCATGGGATCTGTGTGGGGACTCAGGTCTGACATCCTTACAGATTAGAAAAGCATTGACGAGAAATGTGCAAAGATCCACACCAGTAGGAATTTTTTTTTTCAGCAGAAAGCAGCAATCATAGATAGACCAACCCACAGACCCCCTTCTGGTTAGCCCTCTGATGTTGGAAGGGAACTGCCCTCTCTTCTTGGGATTGAATAAGTCACTTGGGATTTGGATGCATCACATAATACCAGCTCATGCTCCTTGTGTGCCAGGCACTCTGCCAAGCAATTCTGCACAGATCAGCCTCTTTCAGTTCCTGCATTCAGCCTTTCTTCCTTCAAAAAATATCGATTGCAAACCTATCATGTGAAAAGCACTATTACAGGCCCTGGGGATATAGCAGTGAAGAAAATAGGCATTCTCTTGGAGATCTACTTTAGTAGGAAAATGATGAGAAATAAACGACCATATAATATGTCGGGTGGAATATATTCTATAAAGAAAAATAAGGCAAAGTGAGGGGCTAGAGAGTGACGGGGGAAGCTCAAAGTCCTCTCTGAGCGGTGGTCTGGAGGTAGTAAGGGTGTTGGTCGTGTGGATGTTGAGAAGAGCTTTCAATGGAAGTGTAAAGGCCCTGGGGCAGGAGCGAGCAGGCACGTTTAGGGAAGTGGGAAGCAATGGGTCTGCATGAGAGTGAGCCAGGAGCAAAGCGACATCGGAGGGTTAGAGAGGTCCATAGAGTTCAGATCACAGAGGACTTTGTGGGTCATGGTAAGGGCTTTGAAATTTTTATTCTGAGTAAGGCTGGAATGGTTTTAAGCACAGGAATAAAATGATCTTATTTATTTATTTTTTAAAAACAGGACCGCTGTGGCTGCCTTT